ATTAAATTTTTGCAAGGTTAAGCAGATAGAAATGATTTTCTCTCGTTTATACAAATTCTAATTTATTTACACAAAAAAATTATTAAATTTTTCGAATTTTAGTTTAATTTTTTGTTCGTGTTTTTGCATTAAAAAAATGTAACGGGTTTAAGGACAAACTAAAGTGAGAATCAACAAATCAAAAACCAATTTGAAACAAGCTTATAAAAAAATACTAAAAAATATTAAAAAAATACATATATTTTATCGTTTTCGATTTTGCTTTAATTTTCAAGCTATTTCTAAGAATTTTTTAATAAGAATAGAGTGAAATTTCACCAAAATTAACTTTTTGCAATGTAAAACAAATAGAAATCATTTTCTCTAGTTTATACAATTTTCTAATTTATTTACACAAAAAAATTATGAATCTTTTAGAAACTTAGTCTAATTTATTGTTTAATGTTTTGTTTTTGTCACATTAAAAAATGTGACCGGTTTAAGGGCAAACTAAAGCGAGAATTAACAAATCAAAAACCAATTAAAAAAAAAAGAAAAAATAATTTAAAAAATGAAAAAAAAAAGATATATGTAATAATCGTTTTTGATTTTGATTTGATTTTCAAGCTATTTCTAAGAATTTTTTTAATAAGAACAAAGCGAACATCAAAACCCAAGTTGAAACAAGCAAATAAAAAAAATACTGAAAAATATTTTAAAAAAGTGTTTAAGAAAATGCAAATTTGTATGGTTTTTAATTTTCATTTAGTTTTTAAGATATTTCTAAGTATTTTTAATAAGAATAGAACAAATTTTTCAGAGGTATCATAAAAATTAAATTTTTGCAAGATTAAAAAATAATACAAAAAATACCCCAAATTGGTAGCAATTAGTTTCTTTCAAAGCTTTGAAAATGTTCCATTCCAATTTAATCAAAGCAAAGCTAGTTTTTTGCAATAATTGCCCGAAAAATAATTTTCCAGCTTTGGCATTTCCCGTTTCCGTCCTTTTGATTGATTTAGCTAATCAAATTTTCCTCTGAACGTTATAAAACTTCTCGCAATCAGACCTCAGCGTCGGCGGCGTCCACGGCGTCGCTTGTTAAACTTTATTAGCGCCGAAAATTTCCATACCGGATGCTGAAATCGGCCAAATGACATCCACCACACGCTCAATCCTCTTTACGGAGTTTTCTCATCGCTGAAAATCCTGAAAATAGGTCATCGCAACTTGGGCCTTTTGCCAAACCCGTTTTATTTCCCTGAAATAAACAGTTTGGTCGCCTGAAATATGCCGAAAAAATCGAATTAAAACTAAGTTTTGGCGCTTGCGTGCTCCCCACTCGGGGGGTTGTTGATGCGTCGGAGACTCAGAGGGTGTTTTGGCGGCGAGTGGTGCGTTTGTGTTTCAGTTTTCAGGAGGAAAACAGCGGGACATTTGGTGGTGTTTCAGGATTATTTTCACTCTCGAATTGTTTATTGATGAGTGAAAGTTTGTTTTTCCTGATGGACGTTAGATTTCAGTGATGTGTGAGTGAGGAGTGGAAGGGTTGCAAGACTTGTGGGGCTTTTGGAGGGTGCTCATGAATGGGATCCACTTTAACCAAGGCCAGTCGTGTAAGTTTGGGGCTCTAAATGGGAACAATTTGGTGGATGCGCCGGGTTTTGGGGTTTTGTGTTTTTTTAATGTTGGTACCACGACACGTGATCAAGCCAAAAACATCACCAATAATTCGCTAATTGTTAAGTAATTTAATTAAAATATTTTAATTATTACAAAATCATGTTTTTCTATTTAAAAAAAATATATTTGACATTTGACATGTTTTAATTAATTCTAGAAATTAATTACTGAAAAATGCGACAAAATTACATAAAAAAGGGTAAACTTAATGCTCAGTGAAGCCAAAAACAACACCAAAAATTATAATTTACCGAATTTTATTAATTTAATTAAAGTAATTCTATATCATTAATTATTTTTTGTAGTGTTAGTTGAAACACTCTTAAGTGAAGTTTGGGGATCGGTTTATGGTGATTCAATCCTGAAAAACTTTTTTTTGTGATATTTTTTAATTCAAAAACTACACTTTTTCATCAAAAAAAAAATATTTTAGACCTCCGAGAGGTTTAATTAAGTGTTTACTTTGTTAAATGTCTATAATTTTACTAAGTTATACAGAAAAATGCCATAAAAGACATAAATGGTAAAAACGAGGTGATTTTAATGCTTGATCAAGCCACAATTTAATTTATTTATGAAAATTATTCTCAAAAATGCTACAAAAAACCATAATTGCTGAAAAAGGGGTTATTTTAATGGATATAAACAAACAAGAATTTTTTATTTAGGAGTTTCTTTTATTTATAGCCAAAATAAATTAAACTCGTTTTATTCTAATAAAAAAATTAATAAAAATTCAGAATTTTTTTATTTTTGGTTTTTTGAAAACCACTACTTTGAGATTTTTTAAAATAGAATTAAAAGCGTCAAATTTGACATAGGAACAGATAACTTAATAAAAATCTTGAAGAGTTTTTAGATTTTTTTGAAACTATTAAGTTCTGTTTGAAATTCGAAAATTGCATTTTTGGGAAAAAGTTTCTTTTTCAAAATTTACAAAAATAATATTTTTTTAGCTTATTTAATAAACTAATTCGGATTTTTTTCTCCAGCAGAAGAAAAATCATTGTATTAAAATATTTTTTTATTATAAGGTTCTGATTTGTTTAACAGGTAATTCAATGAAAATGTTGTACACGGAATTTTTGAAACTGAAATTTGAAAATTGCAACATTTATAGAAAAATAGTCTTTTCTCATCAAATATTGAGTACACTTATTTTTAAGTTTCTTTGCTTGACTTTGTTAAAAATAAACTAATTTGGATTTTTCTCTAATAGAACAAATAAAAAAATTGTATTTTTCTAACTGAATTTGAACTTTTTGGAGTTTTTTGGTCTTTTTTGTGGCAAATTCGCATAAAAAAATTTACTACTTTTGATTTTTTTTAATCAAAATGAACTAATTTTAGTCTAATTTCTCTAAACTGCTGATTCAAAAACATTGTTTTTAACTGTTTTTGTTTTGTTTTTCTGAAATGAAATTTTCAGTCGTCATTTTTTGCCAAAGTTTTCTTTCGAGTTAATACCATTTTCTAGATTTTTGACTTTTTTGATAACAAATTGTTGTTTAGTTTGATAATTTTAAGGTCCTCTTTTTTCAAAAAGGCAATTCAATAAAAATATAGACTGTTTTATTTAACGAGATTTCTGAAACTTTTTAATTCTATTTGAAATTCGAAAACCGCAATTATAGAAAAAAATCCCTTCTTATCAAATATTAATTAAAGCTGTTTTTAAAAAAAATAAAAGAATTATTTTTTAACCTCATTTGCTTAGCCCTACTAGAAATAAACTAATTTGGATTTTTGTCTAACAAAAGAAAAAACAAAATTAATATTTTATGAATTTAGACTACTTTTGAGTTTTTTTGGCTTGTTTTTATAGCAAATCGGCATTTAGAATGACGATTTTAGCTCTAATTTGTTCAGAATTAATAAGAAAATGTTTTTTACTGTTTTTGACTTATTTCTTGTAACTCCAAAATGACTCGTAGGAGAGAAATTTCTTTAATAGAATCAAAATTCTTGTTTATTTTTACTCAAAATTAGTTACTTTTATCCTGATTTTTCAAAATTGATGATCGAAACAATAAAATTTGTTTTTAACTGTTTTTTGTAAGTTTTTCTAAAATAAAATCATATTGACAAAATTTTGTAACTTTTAATTAAATGAAGACTAGTTCCTGATGTGTTTTGGACGTTTCTGACGCAAATTGGTATTTAGTTATTCTAGCCTTAATTTATTGAAGATTTAAAAAGTCATTTTTACTTTTATTAATTTTTTTACCAAAATTGTGAAAAGCACCAGTCAGAGAACATTTTTTTACAGAATCGTGGGATTTATTCAATTTTACATAAGAGATAGTTAATTTTATAATTTTTTAAAAGTGATTGTCTTCTTCAACATTATTTGTACGAACTCTTTTTTTAATTTGTAAACTTTATTGAAATAGCAAACTTTGAGATACAAAAATTAAATTTTAACAATACGTTTTTTAAGGACTTCATTTTTTAAACATACAATTCAATAAAAATGTAGACTGTTTTATTTAACGAAATTTCTGAAATTTTCTTATTTTATTTGAAATTCGAAAACTGCAATAATAGAAAAAATCACTTTCTCATCAAATATTAAGAATAACTTTTTTACAGGATTTTTTTTAGCTCCATTTGCTTAGCCCTATTAGAAATAACCTAATTTGAATTTTTGTCGTCTACCAGAAAAATATAATCATAACATTATAATTTTTTTAATGCATTTAGACTATTATTGACTTTTTTGGCTCGATTTTGTAGCAAATTGGCATTTAGTATGACGATTCTAGCTCCAATTTGTTTAGAATTAAAAAAATATGTTTTCATTGTTTTTGACTAAAACCAAAAATCGAAATTTTTGTTCATTCCTCGAGATGAGTTAATTTCATCCTAATTTCTCTAAGCTGATGATCGAAAAAATAATACTAGTCTTTAACTGTTTTTTCTATGGTTTACTAAAATAAAATCAAAAATTGACATTCAAGATTACGTCAATGATATTAATTTTATAATTTTTTAAGTAGTTATCTTCTTCAACATT